TAATAGATTGTTATACTATTGCTGTAATAGATTGTTATACTATCGCTGTAATAGATTGTTATACTATTGCTATAATAGATTGTTATACTATTGCTGTAATAGATTGTTATACTATTGCTGTGATAGATTGTTATACTACTGCTGTATTAGATTGTTATACTATCACTGTAATAGATTGGAATACTATCACTGTAATAGATTGTAATACTATTGCTGTAATAGATTGTTATACTATCACTGTAATAGATTCTTATACTATCACTGTAATAGATTCTTATACTATCACTGTAATAGATTGTTATACTATTGCTGTAATAGATTGTTATACTATCGCTGTAACTGATTGAGGTACCTGGTCAAGGGAAGTGTACTAGCCCAAATGTGCTACAGTTACACCCAAATGAATGTTCAGGGGAGGTTACTGTGTATAGAAAAACGGCAGTGCAGTGGGACAGGAATCCTTAAAGGGAAAACCCTCAACAAAGCCTCAGGTTTGAAAGTTCCCCGGGAGGAATTTCCCTTCCCTACACCCCTGGGTATGAAAGAGTCTAATTTTATTTTATTTTACCTTATAGATAATTCTAATATTTTATATTGCAGGTTTAAAATATATTCATTTAGTTTTGCACTGCTGTGCTCGATGAAACGTCCTTAAATGACCTTAGCTGTTGATAGGACGCTAAACCCTGGTCAATCAATCAATTGTGCTAGATGCATATATATCTTTTATGTGATTTGTTTGTCAATTTTTATCGTCATACATTAAGTGTAATTTCAGTCATAATGTAATTATGAAATTGAATTGATTAATAAAACTCTTTGAGAAGTGCAGATTTTTGTTGGTCAGCAAACAATTATTTTAATTCAGGCCAAACCTGTTCAACAGCAAAATGTGTAATAAATTTGCTTTTAAGGTGCATTAAGGCCCCTATGTTGCCCTCAAAACGAAGATCTTATATAATGTATTAAAAATAACTGCATCAAACTGTCAGAGAAATAATGACAATATGGAAATAAAACAGAAATTGAATTCTTGATTTTAAAAAAAGTATATGAATGAGGAGTGTAATTCCCACCAGAGCTTCAGTATTTCAGGATTTTTTTTTTAGGTACACAGAAAGTCATCATGAAATGGTAGAATTCCAGTCACAAGGCCTGAGACATAGAAAATGAAGCCCACTTCTGACTTTCTTCCGTGACAGATTCACCTCGGAGGATACACATCACGTTATAATTTACACAATTTATTGATTTCTTTGTCCTAATGTTATTCCAGAAGTCAGTCTGCTATATGATAGAATCAAGCATATCGTAAGGCAGTGATGTTGCACTGGTCGACTGGAATGTGCAGACCTACTTAATTCAGGACTTCTAGAAAGGCATTCTACTCAATATGATTACGTAGACTTCATAATCAAGATTACTCTAGAACATGACATTTGTCTTAGAACTTCTTTAGATTTTTTTTAATTTTAAATCAAATAAGACTGCATGTGATTGAGTTCTCCTGTTAATGAGGCAGAAAAGATAGAAAAATTTAATAAAATACCATTAATACTATTTCTATTTTCAACAAAAGCATTGAACATGCATGTTTACAAATAAGGATTGATTTTTTTTTTTTTTCAATGTTCATGCCAATATACAATTATATTTGCAAGAACATTGAAAAATGCTATTAAATACATATATAAAAATTCTAATTTTATAGTTATTATTGATCTAATATAGGTATTCCCATATATTTTCAAAAGCTGTGTGTCATCTTTTGAAATGAGATTCTTGGAACAGCCTAACATCGCCAAAATGTTTGCTTCCTGTAATTGTCTTATCTTATTTGAGGTGGGAGAAGCTTCAAAACGATGCTGATCAAACTTCGTTCATAGCCCTATGAACAGAATTTCTTCTGGGAATGCTTATAGAGGAACTTGCGGTGGAAATGTAAATATATTATTATTAATACACCAATAAGTCATTTATTTCAGTCTGAGACTTGTTTCTCATTGTTACTTGAACTGGTATGGATTTCCCTGATAGGAAGTCTTCTAATAACATACATGCAGTTTTCCACTGCTATATTTCAACATGGGGTTTTTCAATGCTACTGAAACATGAGAATTTCCCACTGCTATTTATAGACTTAGGGGTTTTTCACTGCTACTGAAACATGCGAATTTCCCACTGCTATTTATAGACTTAGGGGTTTTCCACTGCTAATGAAACATGAGAATTTCCCACTGCTATTTATAGATTTTCCACATTTCTTTTTACAATATTACCTCAAGAGCCTTCTCTTCAATACTATCATCCTCTCCTGTTTCATTAGTATCCTCTTCAAGATCGACATCCTCCTGGTCGTCCACGACAACTGACGCGATCCGCTTTCGCTCATCAATGGTGCTCTCTAACTCAGTGACAACACGTGAGAGTTCAGAGTTCAGGTCATTTCCAGCCTCAACTATAAAGAGAATGTTTACTTTTACAATCAACTCATGTGAATGCAACATGAGTAAGTTGTGATCCCTCTTTGGTTTTAACTCTTTCCCAGTTAAATAGATAACAAGGACGCAGTAAAACCATATAAAACTAGCATTCTGTCAAACTTTAAATCACAGTCAATCTTAACACAATACAGTAAAAACTTGATATAATGCCCCTCGTTTATATACAGTAAAACCTTGATATAATGCCCCTCGTTTATATACAGTAAAACTTGATATAATGCCCCTCGTTTATATACAGTAAAACCTCGATATAATGCCCCTAGTTTATATACAGTAAAACTTGATATAATGCCTCTTATTTATATACAGTAATACCTTGATATAATGCCCCTTGTTTATATACAGTAAAACCTCGATATAATGCCCCTCGTTTATATACAGTAAAACTTGATATAATGCCCCTCGTTTATATACAGTGAAACCTCGATATAATGCCCCTCGTTTATATACAGTGAAACCTCGATATAATGCCCCTCGTTTATATACAGTAAAACTTGATATAATGCCCCTCGTTTATATACAGTGAAACCTTGATATAATGCCCCTTGTTTATATACAGTAAAACCTCGATATAATGCCCCTCGTTTATATACAGTAAAACTTGATATAATGCCTCTTATTTATATACAGTAATACCTTGATATAATGCCCCTTGTTTATATACAGTAAAACCTCGATATAATGCCCCTCGTTTATATACAGTGAAACCTCGATATAATGCCCCTCGTTTATATACAGTAAAACTTGATATAATGCCTCTTATTTATATACAGTAAAACCTTGATATAATGCCCCTTGTTTATATACAGTAAAACCTTGATATAATGCCCCTCGTTTATATATAGTAAAATTTTGATATAATGCCCCTTATTTATATACAGTAAAACCTTGATATAATGCCCCTCGTTTATATACAGTAAAGCCTTGATATAAGGTCCCTTGTTTATATACAGTAAAAACTTGATATAATGCCCCTCGTTTAAATACAGTAAAACCTTGATATAATGCCCCTCGTTTATATACAGTGAAACCTCGATATAATGCCCCTCGTTTATATACAGTAAAAACTCGATATAATACCCATCGTTTATATACAGTAAAAACTTAATATAATGCCCCTCGTTTATATACAGTAAAAACTTGATATAATGCCCCTCGTTTAAATACAGTAAAACCTTGATATAATGCCCCTCGTTTATATACAGTAAAAACTTGATATAATGCCCCTCGTTTAAATACAGTAAAAACTTGATATAATGCCCCTCGTTTATATACAGTAAAAACTTGATATAATGCCCCTCGTTTAAATACAGTAAAACCTTGATATAATGCCCCTCGTTTATATACAGTAAAAACTTGATATAATGCCCCTCGTTTAAATACAGTAAAACCTTGATATAATGCCCCTCGTTTATATACAGTAAAAACTTGATATAATGCCCCTCGTTTAAATACAGTAAAACCTTGATATAATGCCCCTCGTTTATATACAGTAAAAACTTGATATAATGCCCCTCGTTTAAATACAGTAAAACCTTGATATAATGCCCCTCGTTTATATACAGTAAAAACTTGATATAATGCCCCTCGTTTAAATACAGTAAAACCTTGATATAATGCCCCTCGTTTATATACAGTGAAACCTCGATATAATGCCCCTTGTTTATATACAGTAAAACCTCGATATAATGCCCCTCGTTTATATACAGTGAAAACTCGATATAATGCCCCTCGTTTATATACAGTAAAAACTCGATATAATACCCCTCGTTTATATACAGTAAAAACTTGATATAATGCCCCTCATTTCATTTGCCACTTTGTTTACCAGCAACACATTTCAATGTCCTTTTTTCTCATTTTCTTTTCATGCCAAACTATCTCTGTACAAATGGTGGTAGTATAATGAGATTTTACGGTACATCACGTGACTCAGTGATATCTGTGACACTGACATTCGCCTCCTCAAATCATTACCACCTATATAGCTACCTGGTGTATGTACCATATACTCGCCATCGATACGTCACCCATAAACACTTAATGGTTGTGATACATAACCTATCTACAATTCATACTTACCAACCTGAAGAAAACATTTACAGATATGATGTATGACCTCTTTGACCTTTCTGACACTGTGACCTATGACCTACCGATGCTAGCCTGTGACTCCCCGGCGATGTTGTCCCGCGTGCTGCCACCATTGTTACTTTTGTTACTGTGTACAGCAGCATCCGATTCCTCCACATATTCCTCCTCCTCCCTGGAGAACAGAATCATGTTATACCAGGGCAGGCACAGTATACATTTCCTAAAATGTTATACCCCCCCTCCCATCCTCTCCCCTCAGTATTCCGTCTTTCGTATTGCAGAGTTATCTGCTCTTGTGAGCAGGTATTGATTGTTATGTCATTAGTTTATGTGAGAAAATTACATTGTTTTCACAAAAATTTATGATGTTACTCTCACAAACAAGTGACGTAACAATTGATTCCTGCTCACAAGAGCAGATAACTCTGCAATACGAAAAGACGGTATACTTTTATTACAATAAACCTTTTTATAAGGATCGAACAGCATATTTCAACTTCAACCTGGAACAGCCTAATGTCACCAAAATGTTTGATTCTAACGGTTGTTTCATGTTATTCGAGGTGGCAGGATATTTAAGCTTCAAAATGACACTGATCAAATTGTTTTCATAGTTCTTTGAAAGCAATTTTTCTGGTAATGCTTACAGAGGAACTTACAGCAGAAATGTAAATATTACAACATGAAAGGCATACTGTAAGACAATAAACTTTTTTTACGAGACATACAACAATACATTTTTGTATCGACACAACATGATAATGTTCTTAATCATTGCCACACAGCAACTTTATGTCCACAAATTAATTAAAAGTGTTTACTCCAAGCATTAGTGGGTTTTTTTTCTACAAATATGCTTTCGGTCATTTTAACGCGGTGGTGATGGGGTGGGCAGACATTTTTCAGCCAACAGCAGGCAATCTTTTAAAAACTGCTAGGAGAATCTGATTGATTGCCTGTTCTCTTGAATTATGAAATATTGATAGATTTAAGTACTTTTATCATTGGTCAGCATTAACAGCTTGATTGATAAATCATTAAGTGTATTACCAAATATTGAAAGTAACATTTCCTATGACACAGAACACATTTATCAAAGATCAAGTAAAAAATACACAATGTTTGCAACAAGATTTGAGGCAGAACTATCCTGAAAGGTACATTAAATACAGTAAAGAGTAACTTTCAAGAAAAATCAAATATTGTTATATTAGCGAGAAACCTCCAAATAAAAAGTATTTTTAAGTTGACAAATCTTAATTCAAAGGCAAATATACAGTAACATTTGCTACTGATTTAAAGATGACAAATCTTAAACCAAGAACACATTTTTAAGTGTTTTTAAGTTGACAAGTCTTTCACCAAAACCAATATTATAAGTTGACACATCTTTAAACCCAGTGCACATTTTTTTAAGTTGACAAATCTTTAACCAAAAGCACATTTTAAGTGTTTTTAACTTGACAAGCCTTTAACCAAAAGATTACAGAAGTGTTTTTAACTTGACAAATTGTTAACCAAAGCACATTCTTAATTTAACAAATTCATAACCAAGATTATTTTAAAGTTGACAAAACATTGAGCGGGTCTGACATTATCAACACCATGAAGTGGGCATCTTGTCCTGTTGGACGCCAATCAATATTGTAAGACAACGATGCTCAATTTTTATTTCCGACAGCTACACAGATCAATGTTCTGATTGGCCAGTTAGTGTTTCCATCGCCGTAGGAACACAACTGAAGGAGTAATAGTCCAATTCTTGTTAAAGTCAGGAAAAAACCCAAAACGTTGATTATGCAATCAGCCCCAATGTTGATGAGAGGGAGAGGCTGTAAGCCAGCGTGTAATTAGCTGACTGACACGTTGCCTGATGGTGGCAGTGATGGGTGCTAGTTATATCAGCAGCAATGATGTGGCGAAAGATGGTCAGAGTAATTTATAATAACAAACAACAGGCCAAATAGGCCTGTATCTCCAAGAACTCTCGCACTATTAGTATACGCAAATCTCATTTCTACAAAGTGGTGTGTATTTAGCAGTTCTCACTGGTAGGGCTCTCCCCAACCCTTAGAAACTTGAATTACAATAGAACTAGATTTTTTTTCCCCGATTGCTTCTTAAGCCGTTTTAATGCATTGAATGTAGAAAACATTTGATTTGTCATTTTGTACGACATCCAGCTGTTTTAGGTTTTTAGCATATCTGACCGAGGCTATCAACAGATCATATTGTCAATTCAATTCAAAATTGCATTTGTCATCCAGACAACATACGTTTAAAGGATCAAAATGTAAATAAACAAAATAATAATACAACTATATGTACATTTTTATGAAAAAGTTTGCTTCATGCTTATAATCACATGTCAAACTTGGTAATTAATTGTACTAAACATGATTTTTTTTTTATATTTTTTTTTTTTTTTGCACAAACCATTTTTTACAGTTTTTCAAATTCAAAATTAGCAAATGGAATATTTTGAAAAGGTAATTGTAAGAGTCAATATAGGGAGAAGCGACCTTGACCTTGGGTCTGTGTGACTTTGACACTCACTTGATAACGTTGATGTGGTGACGTTCAATCTTTTTACGAAGTTCTGCGATGACAGAATGTAGCTCCGTGATTCTTTCCTCATATCGGCTGGTCGTCTGTTCTAGCCTGTCCTCACAGTCTCGCTGGAAGTAAAGTCTGTCAGTCTGCAACAAGAAACACAGAAAACACGTGTAAAGTGACGGTTTCTCATTCATCTGAATTTGGTTAACATAATAATTAAGAGTAATTAGTCCAAAGTCATATTTTCTGGAAAACAATCAGACACGGTCAAATCAACAGCTACATGTTATCCTCCAGAAAAAGAAAACTTCAGGGAGCAACAGCGAAACTCCTGAGGATAGGATACATTATGATGTACAGCAAATCTTCATTATTATGACATCATTCTTACAGAGAAATTTTGGCATTATAAAGGGGTGTGGCAATAGATAGAGGGAAGTGTACAAAGGTATTCTTAAGACAAGAATTACGCGTAATTATATGTCTCGCCTGTCCCCGCTTTGAGCATAAGATTCAATGTGTCAAGAATTGTAAGTTTGAGCCGAAGTTCGGAATTTTATATTTTATAAAGAAGTTTGGCAATACATCAACATGAAGGTATAAAAGGTACAAGTGCTAATTTTAATGGGAGATGGCCATTACAGATGTCCCCTAAACTAACCGCACATTCAGAAAAACAAATGAAAATAGGTGAACGGAAGTCATGTTAGCATACCAAATTTGAGCAAAATCAAACTATATGTGAATTTCGACCAATCATGCTGAAGCCAGTAAATGAAGACTGTGTTGTCAGATCAGAAAACGGATGCCGCGGTTGAGTTTGCAGTGCCAAATTACATGTACTTACCAAATTTGATTGAAATCGAACAATAACTGAATTTCGACTAATCAGAAGCCAGTATAGGTGACCATTATGTCAAATCAGAAAATGGATAATGTGGTTGAGTTTGCTGTGACAAAATACACCTACATACAAAATTTGAGCGAAATCGACCAATATCTGAATTTCGACCAATCAGAAGTCAATTATACACTAACCATGTTGTCAAATCACAAACTGGACGCTGTAGTTGAGTTTGCAATGCTAAAATACACTAACATACTAATTTTTAGCGAATTTGAACAGTAGCTGAATTTCGACCAATTAGAACCAAATATACAGCAGCCATTTTTGTCAAATCAGAAAACGGATGTCGCGACTGCATGCATTAAACATCAAATTGCAGTGGAGCTATTGTTAATCGGTAATCACTGTTATAATGTTGGCTAATGACTGCATTGTGGTGTTGAGAAGTGTCAATAATTTTTCGCTGAAGCATGGCGATCCTAACCTAGCCTATTGTCCGGGATCAGACGGCATCAGTGGTTTTTCCCTCTGGTCAACTTACCTGTAACAAGAGGACCATGGGCCTAAACGGTCACCTGAGTCCTACAGTATTTATTTTTGTTGTTGAAATATGTACCAATTTGAGTACAAAATAGTTAAGTATAATGTTAACTTAACTTTGTCAGGACCATGAGTTGATCATTCCTACAAAGTTTCAGTTCAATCGGCCCAGTAGAACTTGACTTTAAGTTTGATATAGTTTTTCAAAATGGCTGTCATGGTGGCCATATTGGATTTCTGATCGACCCAAAAAATAACAACACTTTGTCAGGACCATGAGTCGATCATTCCTACAAAGTTTCAGTTCAATCGGCCCCGCAGAACTTGACTTTAAGTTTGAAATAGTTTTTCAAAATGGCGCCCGTGGCGGCCATATTGGATTTCTGATCGACCCGAAAAATAACAACACTTTGTCAGGACCATGAGTTGATCATTCCTACCAGGTTTCAGTTCAATCAGCCCAGTAGAACTTGACTTTAAGTTTGAAATAGTTTTTCATAATGGCGGCCGTGGCGGCCATATTGGATTTCTGATCGACCCGAAAAATTACAACACTTGGTCAGGGAGATGTCAGTAACCTTCCCATGAAATATTAATGAAATCCCTTTGCCAGTATTTCAGTTTAAATTGAAAATGTAAAATGTTCACGGACGACGGATGCGGAGGACGACGGACGAAGACGATTAGCAATAGGTCACCTGAGCTTTAGCTGTTAAAATGTTACCTGTGCCCAGCTAGTGTTTTTGGTAATTGATAACCCAAGAATGAATTGTTCCTGCATATAATGTGCACCCCCTTTTTGACATGGCGATATTTACCTAAAAAAGTGCCCACTATACGCGCAGATTTACGGTAACGAAATGCAAAGATAAAAGTATAATCCAGGTTTGGTTATGACAGCACATATATACTTTGTGAGATATTAAACTCAACCCCCAGCTAAACGAAAAACTTTAACATGGCCCAATTCATTAACAAAGTCCAATTAACAGTAAATTTCTGTTAAAATTCTGAATCTAAAATGTGTGTTTGGATGGCTATATATAGATACAAGTATATTACAGGTTCCATTTTGATAGCTTATGTACTTAGAGAGAAATTTAGAGTTTAACAGAAATATTGGCTCCGTCGCAGGCGAGACAAAAATGAGAAAAACGGACATTGAAATATGTGGAAGGTAAACAAAGTGGCAAATGAAACGAGGGGCATTACCATATTTTACCGGCAATAAGGCCCTCCCCCCCTCCCGAGAAAAAAGATTGGCCAAAAGTGTGTGTGTGGGTATATCAAGGTTTCACTGTATATAATCGAGGAGCATTACCATATTTTACCGGCAATAAGCCCCCCCCCCCATCCCCTCCTGAGAAAAGAGATTGGCCAAAAGTGTGTGTGTGGGTATATCGAGGTTTCACTGTATATAAACGAGGGGCATTATATCGAGGTTTTACTGTATATAAACAAGGGGCATTATATCAAGGTTTCACTATATATAAACGAGGGGCATTATATCAAGTTTTACTGTATATAAATGAGGGGCAATATATCAAGTTTTACTGTATATAAACGAGGGGCATTATATCAAGGTTTCACTGTATATAATCGAGGAGCATTACCATATTTTACCGGCAATAAGCCCCCCCCCCCATCCCCTCCTGAGAAAAGAGATTGGCCAAAAGGGTGTGTGTGGGTATATCGAGGTTTCACTGTATATAAACGAGGGGCATTATATCAAGATTTCACTATATATAAATGAGGGGCATTATATCAAGGTTTCACTGTATATAAACGAGGGGCATTATATCGAGGTTTCACTGTATATAAACGAGGGGCATTATATCGAGGTTTCACTGTATATAAATGAGGGGCATTATATCAAGATTTCACTATATATAAATGAGGGGCATTATATCAAAGTTTTACTGTATATAAACGAGGGGCATTATATCGAGGTTTCACTTTATATAAACGAGGGGCATTATATCAAGGTTTCACTTTATATAAACGAGGGGTATTATATCGAGGTTTCACTTTATATAATCGAGGGGTATTATATCGAGGTTTCACTGTATATAAACGAGGGGTATTATATCGAGATTTCACTTTATATAAACGAGGGGCATTATATCGAGATTTCACTGTATATAATCGAGGGGTATTATATCGAGGTTTCACTGTATATAAACGAGGGGTATTATATCAAGGTTTCACTGTATAAAAACGAGGGGTATTATATCGAGGTTTCACTGTATATAAACGAGGGGTATTATATCGAGGTTTCACTGTATATAAACGAGGGGTATTATATCGAGGTTTCACTGTATATAAACGAGNNATTATATCGAGGTTTTACTGTATATAAACGAGGGGTATTATATCGAGGTTTCACTGTATATAATCGAGAGGTATTATATCGAGGTTTTACTGTATATAAACGAGGGGTATTATATCGAGGTTTCACTGTATAAAAACGAGGGGTATTATATCGAGGTTTTACTGTATATAAACAAGGGGCATTATATCGAGGTTTTACTGTATATAAACGAGGGGCATTATATCGAGGTTTTACTGTATATCAATGAGGGGCATTATATCGAGGTTTCACTGTATATAATCGAGAGGTATTATATCGAGGTTTTACTGTATATAAACGAGGGGTATTATATCGAGGTTTCACTGTATATAAACAAGGGGCATTATATCGAGGTTTCACTGTATATAAACGAGGGGTATTATATAGAGGTTTCACTGTATAAAAACGAGGGGCATTATATCGAGGTTTTACGGTATATAAACAAGCGGCATTATATCGAGGTTTCACTGTATATAAACGAGGGTATTATATCGAGGTTTCACTGTATAAAAACGAGGGGCATTATATCGAGGTTTCACGGTATATAAACAAGCGGCATTATATCGAGGCTTCACTGTATATAAACGAGGGGCATTATATCGAGATTTCACTGTATATAAATGAGGGGCATTATATTGAGGTTTTACTGTATATAAACGAGGGGCATTATATCAAGGCTTCACTGTATATAAACGAGGGGCATTATATCGAGGTTTCACTGTTTGCAATATTCAACATACATATACAAACAGAATTGTAATCATAGTTAACAAATCTACCTGTGACTTGTTGAGTTGTTTTTCCAAACTGTCTCGTTCACCAGTGAGAAATTGAAATCGGTTGTTCAACTCGATTAGCTCCCCTTTCAATGATGTGATTGCAGCCAGGTGGAGCTGTAAACAGAAAACAAAGTTACATGAAACATGTGTCAACAACCTATAGATGTAGATAAATTGTACATCATTGTATAATATAATTAACAGGAGAACCAACACAATTCTAGGCGAAGGAGTCTAACGTCCTGTAGGTGATGGCTGGTAGATGGCCTCAGACCATAAATACACTCCCAGGTCGTTAAGTACACAAATGTAGTGCATAAGGACATTTCAGGTCAGTTACTAAATAAATTTTCCTGTCTGATCTATGACAGATTTTTACAGTTTTTTACATAGAATTGTTCAACAATATCTATACTAGTGATTCAAATTTTTTTGACACAGTTTCCATCTTTGTATTCGCAGCAGGACACAATGAGTGATGAGGCTTGCACAGTGATATTTTCTGATTTTTGGTATTTTCCCCTATACATTCAAATGAAATTATCTTTCTTAAATGCCGGTCATGAGGTACTTTCCAGCTCACTGTATGTACAGTTTGAATAGACCTACAATATGAAATGGGAACCAGATCCTGCACAAAGTTTTAAAAATATTTTAATTTCATTTTTCCTTTGGTAGTAACATATAGTAGAATTAATTGTGGTCTGAGGCCAGATGTCTCAGTGGAGGATCCAAGGTGGATACCGGAGTTTTCTAGAAGAGCTCCATAGAAGGGAGGTAACTACAAGTAGGTAAGAGATGGAGCGTCGGATGGTGTTGATGCTCCATCTCTTACCTACTTGTAATACACTGACTATTGTGTTATAGAGCATTGTGACACATGTAAGTTTATAACAGCACTAACCCATGTGCCATCCTCCATACTCTAGGGGATTACGGTGCACTTTCGCACTCTGCACCCCTGGAATATGTAAATTTATAACAGCACCAACCTGTGTGCATAATTTCCAACTCTGCCGATTTGGGTGACTTCAGATTTGGGAAACGTAGAATATTAATTCCAGCCAGTAAATTTACACTTAATAACTACTATATGCCCCCAACCCACCAACAACTACTGTATGAGATGTCAGGAAAATCATAATGTCTCAAATTTCTAATATTTATTGTTATCAAATTCATGGAACTGGAATGTGACTCTTAATTTACTAGTTCAAATTTCCACGGAATTGATATTTTTTACAATACAATAAAACTTCTATAAATCAAACTTATTCACATAATAAAAAAATTCAATGTGTTGAACTTTCAACAAAGACCAAATTGTTTCTTTATTCACTTGTATAACACTAATGATATTTCATTCATAAATCAAAATGTTTTAAGTCAAATTTCTCCTTGTTTCAAATTATAATCAAGGTCCGATCATTATGAAAACATTGAAAATTACAACTTGAAGTAAATCAATTACCTGTACAAGAACATTGAAATGTCTCATGGTCATTTTAACCTAAACAGGCAAACTATAGTGTATACATATATATAAATACATTTTTTCTAATAACATGAAATCCAATATTTACAGATTCAAATTAAATTTCTTGCCTTGTGTTCTGTCACTTAACATTTGATCTTATACAGTGTCTACAGTCTCTCAAAGATGTTCAAAGTTCAACATCTGTGATTCAACATCTCGATGTTTCAATTTTTTTCTGATGGTCAAAGCAAAGTTTGAAACAGTTCAAGATTGACTTTACCTCTGCTATTTGATGAATTTACTATGTAGTAGTACTGATAATAAAAATATAACACACAAAAAATATTGTCATGTGATCATGAAATAATCCACAAAGGATTACAATTAAATCTATCTATAAAATATACAGTGAATTCCATGAATGCTACAAGACTTGGAATTCCAACCATCTGCATCTCCTAAGTTCTTATCATAAAATTGCATCAGAATAAAGCATTCCACTGACCAAGGTCACTTTTCCTATTTGTTGTCTTGGTGATCAACAAACAGAAACTCTTTCCCAAAAATTTGAACATCCACTTTGTATAAACATGTTTTCCCCAATATACCATTAGCCATTACTGCTTTATAACATGCAAACATTGTAACTGATGGATATGTTCCAAATGCCCCACAGGGAAGCATTCCCATCCCAGATTACACAGAACTTCTGAGAACCCATAATTATCTACAACTATACTCAATGGAACTGTTGCCAATTTATTTACTAAAATAATCGTTAGACAGTCTTCAGATGTCCTACCATTTTCAGAACAGATTGATAGCGGCATTCCACCTAGAAATGGAACTATGTAAATCAGTTTGGTGCTCAGTCATTAACTCATTCACCCCTGAAATTTCAAAATGAACTCTTCTAACCTTTTGAATTGGAAGAGTTCAAATGTGTCATTAGGGGTGAATGAGTTAATAAATACCAAGTCAAACATGTTGAATCAATGAAGAAAATCTAGCAAGTTACCATTATTCAGACTGTACTGGATGGAACAGTATTTTACTTCTATTAAAACGAATAAAATCTCAGTTGAAAGTATATAAGATGCTTTGGCACATTGCTAAGTAGAATATGTATCTGGTTTTTTTTTTTATTATTCCAGTTAATAAACACAATTATAATGTGTTGGTTTTTAATAGGATTTAATAGGATACATGATGGATGCAGGCAATTACTTGCCTCTAGGTCCATATCATATAATATAACAATTTTAATTTAAAAATCACTCCCGTTGTTAGATTTGTAGCTAGCTAAGTGATTAAATTTCAGTTCAAGTTTTTGTTGTGAAAGAATGAAGTGATGAAGGTTGAAAGTGAGCCGTGAGACTGGCTTTAACTCATTCACCCCTACGTTTTTAAACTGGCCTTGCCCAGTCTTTCATCTGGTACGGTTCAAATGTGACTTTAGGGGTGAATGGGTTAGAAAAGATGGGGATCAGAGTCATTTATTTTGAAGGTAAGTTGTTCCAGTCAATGCTAGTGTGTGAAATAAAGGAATAACTAAAAAGGTCTGTGTGTATTTGTCTGTGACAGCCTAGAGTTCCTCTGTTTGATTGGAGCAGTATTTTTTTCATTATTGATGTTTATTCTTTGGTTTGTTTGGAGTTTTACATCCTGTTAACAGCTATGGTCATTTAAGGACGTGCCAGGTTTTGGGTGGTGGAGGAAAACTGGAGTACCTGGAGAAAAACCACCGACCTGCAGCTTGTACCTGGCAACTTGTTTTATCCTTTGGAGGGTTTTCCACTAATAAGTTAAACCAAAACGTTGCATTAAACCAAAGTGTCATTTGGACTCTTCGCTTGACAAAGAAAACAGCTCGCGAAATTAAGTTTTTAATTACTGCTGGTGTTCTAAACAAACTTAGCCGATATTATTCATACAATACAGATGAACCTCATTGTGAAAAGTGACAACTTGATTGGTTATACATCACTATAAAAGATTCAAGCTCTTCCCAAAAACTCTGTTTCAAGCTCAAATTTGTTTCAAAGTATCATTATAAATTGCCACACATTTCAAGGTCTAAACAAACCCTAATTAAACTGACACATGTTTCAAGCACAGGTTAAAGCAGTAGGAAACCTATTAACCCTTTCACCCCTATGTAACTTTAGTAGACTCAACCATGCATTGATCTGGATGGGACCAATATGGTCTACAGTGGTGAACAGGTTAATATTTCTACAAACACAAGGTTTTGATAAAAAGTGAGGCCAAGATGATAAAAATAAGTGTCGGAGCCGTTTCAGATATTTTGTTGTTAGTTTGTTAGTTTGAGGAAAAGCATTAGGAAAATATAACCAGTTACCAGAATGTAGATTGACATGTGATCATAAACAACAGACTAGTTGTGTCCTAAACACAGACACTGCGTTCAGGGCCTGTGTTCATGAAAGCATTCTCGTGCCCAGCTAGTGTTTGTCGCCAAATCAGCAGTCATGACCATAGATTACCAATTTTAATCATTTTAGAGTAGGTAAAAATTGTGTCGCCAAAGCATTTCATTCTTTGAGTCTTCAATCTTATCATATATGACCAACGACTCCAAACAAAACTATTTGAAGGGAGGTAATCCAATATGGCAGATCAGAAACTCGAGAACGATAACCCAAGAATGAATGTTCCTGTGTATAGTGTGCACCCCCTTTTTGACATTATTAACCTAAAAAAGTGTTCACTACACCTGCAAATTTAAGGTAATTGATTTCACAGGGAAACAAGAAAAACATTTCAAAAAGAATTATGGCAAGGTTTTAAATGTTCGAGGTAGTAAATTTGAAAACAGAGTCCTGTGTTATAAGTCTCACTTGTTATATTCTTGATTGTTCATCAACAGTTAAAACAGAGAAACAGATAAATAGACAGCAAACGTAACGGTTCGACAACAATAATCTAAATGTAATATTGAAACGAAACAGAAACGAAACGTAGCCTTATTAATGAAATCAGAACAATACGAAACAGAACGAAATATAACGAAGTGATGGATATTTCGTCGATAATCAGAGTTTTGTAACTTACTAAACGGGTAAAGATTCCTGAAAGGAACTCTGAAGTTCTGACCATTTATCAACAATTTAATATAGAAATCTGCAGTCATCAAAACCTTGAGCCTTATGTGTAACAAGCGGTCGTTCCGTGTTTAAATGTATCATTTACGGGTATAAATCCAGACGGACCTGCAAATGTTTATGCAGGCCTTGCAAGGCTTTGTCAAGGCTCGCCTGAAAGCAGTATCAGATTACTAGGTCCGACCTTATTTAATAAACGAACAACTGTGGTCCGACCGGTTCAGCCGTTTGGATCACGATAAGTGAAACTGGCCCTGGCCTCAATATCACGCTACTAATTCCCACACTTTTCTGATGCAGCAATATTTGCTATGTGTTTCTTTAAAAATTGTAATACAAAGGAACATTTAATTGTTTTCCTGTTAAATACACCATATATATTTCACTCGTATGGCAGATGATACTGACATTTTCTCTTGTGATTCGCACATGTAAGAAAATATCAATATCCTGCCATACGAGTGAAATATATATCTATGAAATATATATCTTCTATGAAATATATATCTATGAAATATATATCTGTGAAATATATATCTATGAAATATATATCTGTGAAATATATATCTATGAAATATATATCTATGAAATATATATCTGTGAAATATATATTTATGAAATATATATCTATGAAATATATATAAGACGCTTAGATATCCTCTATTTGATACAGGATTACAAAATGGACTTCAATGTAAAATTTGGCATTTGAAGGTGACAGTATTTTAGCTATGTCCTTGACAATGTGACAGACGGACGGACGGACGGATGGACGGACGGACGGAGACAGACAGACAGACAAACAGACAGACAGACAGACAAGCAGACAGAGTGATAGATGGGGACCAAACCTTCCAAACCAAACCAAACCCCCCCCCTCCCCCCCTTACTTAGTTGTACCGATGGTGAACAAAACAAAACTGATGAATAGGCTGGTCAGGTGGAGCAGTGAATAACACACTCGCCTTTCACCAAGGTGGCCGGGGAAAGGTAATTGGGTTCATCTGCCTGACCACATAGGTTTTCTCCGGTGTCATGCATAAAAAGTACCCCCCTACCAAAAAGTATCCGGATACTTTTTATACCTGCATAAAATGTACCCCCCCTGCATAAAAAGTACCCCCCTTGTGATAAAAAAAATGTTTATCTATTTTCAAACCAATTAAGTTCAGGACTTCAACAGGACATTACAGGGGAATATTTATCCACCCCTACCCCACCAATCCCCACCCCCGGGGCCAGGAAATTATGCCAAAATTATTTTTAATC